TTAAGATCTTTGGGTAGTATATAAAGGATGTGGCAATCCTTAACTCTTGAGCTAGCTTTTGGGTTAAGTTAGGCCACATTCCTAATATGGTATCAGAGCCCAAGGTTGGCCCAACAAGCAAAATTCCCACAAAAATGGTTTCCCACCTATGTGGCCCATATAAGTGGCATGTCTTGTTGTATTTCCGAGATGTTGGGCTTGGGCTGTTCCCGTTGGGCCGTTTCCCACCCACATCTCGAGGAGGCCTATTAGAAGGTCTCACATTGCTTGGGATTAAGATCTTTTGGTAGTATATAAAGGATGTAGCAATCCTTAACTCTTGAGCTAGCTTTTGGGTTAAGTTAGGCCACATTCCTAATAGAAGCTAAAAGCACCAAGAAGAATGATACGCTTATATAGCTAATGCTAATGATTAGCTGCTAATCGATGTAAAACTTCAGATTGCACCAGGATGAATTTGAACGATGTAAATGAGTACATCATGTAGCTAATCAAGATTACGTCGTAATAATACTTTAATCGTAAAATAGTGGTGCTTGAACTTGGGATTAGGTAGCTAGCAACTTTTGAATTTGGGTCATAGGCATATGAGGTAGATGGTTCATTTTCCAAATATGTTACTTATTATTGCTTTATGATACATCTCTACATGCATGATGCATGGTAACTAGTAAAAACTATGCATTCTCTTATTGATACATAAGAGTTTGCTGAGTATTAATACTACAATTTTCTCAAGTTAATTTTTAGACATGTTTTCGCTCGTAAAATGTTTTTCAGATTTTTTAAATCCTCATTTCCGTTCCTAAAATCCTTGTTTTTACAATTGAGTTTATCTGTTTATATGCTTAGGCTAAAACCAATGCCATTTTTGTTATTAACGTAAGAAGTTGGTGGAAGTTTAAAATAACAATAATTAGTTGTTTCAGCCCTAAGGCCCATAGCCAACAGGCTTCTATTGTGGGTCGAAATAAGAATCTTATTCAGCCAATTTGGATATATATTTGGGTTTGATTTTTGTTACAAGGCTAAATCAAATGGGACTCTTATATATTGTATCAGCTTGATTCCCCTAACTTTCTTAGGTTTTTAGTTTTTACAAATGGATAATGTGGTTGAAAGTGACATTTTAGGTTTTGTGTTACTCCTTTGTTTTTGTTTTCTTATTGAAAAGAGACATTTATCCCTTGTGCTACTATAGACAGTCAATACAAAATAGGGGTTATTGTTGATTTAGGCATTTGTCGAGCAAAATCTTTCATTTTAGGCATTTCTATCCATGCTTATAGAATTGGGCATTTTTGGTGAGGGTAAAAAGACTAAACTAACCCTGTCGAAATGAGAGAAAGTTTTTGCAGTTCTGCCATAGATTCTACTTACCATTAATTGTGATCTGTGGTTATAATCTTTCTTGCCATGTTTAGAGCTTCTGCTACGTTTCTTGTTCTAATTTTGACGCATGACGGCATGAGTCATGACTTATAAAATTGTAAAAGAAACGGGTAGAAATCTAGTCCATCTTTGTGTTTGTGACATTTACAAACCAAAATAACAAAAACAACAATTCTTCTTAGTAAGTAACTCTGCTTCTATACAGAATCTTGCAAATAATGAATGAAATGTTCAATCTCAGAAGACAACAATATAACAATTCTATACATGAAAAAGATGAATTAGTCCTATAAGCTGCTTACTCCTTTGATATCTTCTCTGCCTTTGCAACCATCTCGTCACTTAAGCTGCTGACTTGTTCGAGATCTTCTCTTCATTTGCAACCATCTCGACGATGCCACAAACCATGTAACACAATTGTTCAGAAAGATCATCATACTTACCATCGAGCAAACATGAAAGAGGACAACAAATGTATTAAGGGAAACTATACATACCCTAAGGATTGTAACTAAGGAAACCCAAGGACCGAATGAAACAGATGTATTAAGAAAACTAAACCCTAAGGACTATTACCGGAGGAACCCAAGTAACAAATTAAACACACTCTTAACTAGGAATACTAAACCCTAAGGAACTACAACTGAGGGAACCCAAACACAAAATGAAACGCACTCTTAACTAGGAATACTAAACCCTAAGGAACTACAACTGAGGGAACCCAAACACAAAATGAAACGCACTCTTAATTAGGAATACTAAACCCTAAGGAAATGCAGCTGAGGGAACCCAAACACAAAATGAAACGCACTCTTAATTAGGAATACTAAACCCTAAGGAAATGCAGCTGAGGGAACCCAAACACAAAATGAAACGCACTCTTAATTAGGAATACTAAACCCTAAGGAACTACAACTGAGGGAACCCAAACACAAAATGAAACACTCTTAATTAGGAATACTAAACCCTAAGGAACTACAAGTCTACAACTGAGGGAACCCAAACACAAAATGAAACGCACATTTACTAAGACAGTAATTAATGACAATTGATTTGAAGAGAAAAACTAATGTCGGAACGAACACAAATTCTCAATGAAATACTCATAACAGTAAAAGGAAGTCTCGTTTGAAAGGCAAAATTCAAGCCTGAAATTAGATCATCATCTTCAAGCCTGAACAATATATACAATATAACAACACTATATCTAGAAACTAAGCATCTCCACAATATAGAAAAATATATGTATTAAGTAAGTAACATAGCAAAACCTAACAAAATGATGATCACTTTATATATCCAGAAAACTATCAACCAACTAACTCTCACGAACAATATGGTCAACATCTTGTGTTCTAAAACCTTGATCACTTCATCTTCTTTAACTAGAACCTATTTGTGATCCAAAAAATTTCAGAACCAACTCCTCTCAACAAATAACCCAATTCTCTTAACAACAAAGTTTCACCTAGTCACAGGAAATAATCACTTCAGTGTAACCAGAGAGAACAACAGATAATCTACGAGAAAAAAACGCCCGAACATCACCTGAGAGCCAGAGTTTGTGAGGAAAAAAATAAAACGAGATTTGTGGATCGATTTCACCGTCGTCGAAGTGGGCAATGACATGGCTGGGTCAGATCTCCGCCATAATAGACACATCAAAACCTCGATAGATAGAATCAAGGAGCATAAAATGGAAAAATTGGAAAAAATTAGGGATTTTTGTTACCTTCGAATTAGGGAGACATGATACGTAACATTGTAGATGGATCGACGACTTGAGAAGGGAGCGGTGACGCATCACCGGTAACGACCATGCCGAATTTGGAGGTAGATTTGGCTTTCGCTTTAGTTTTCCGATCAAGAATCTAAGGGAGAGAACGACAACGAGGATTGTCAAAATTAGGGTTTTCGTTTCAGTCGTTTAGATCTTCCTGTGAGATTTTGGTTAGTGAAGAAAACTCGGATTTTCGTTTGATTTTGTGTATGTAAAAGGAAAATTGACTTTGGGTGAGGGGAGAGAGAGATAAGAGAGGCTACGCGTAATGCGAGAGAGAGAGACATGAGATTGTCTTCTGTGAGAAAGAAAAATGAAAAACAATTAAGGGAAAATATTTGCCAGCTACACGAAAGAGACGCCATCACATAGTCACACATGTAGACTTTAAAAATGTTTCGTTAGCTACACGAAGTATTGACATTACATACGGACATCCCTGAACTAACATAAGTCATGTTGCAAACACCATAACCATCCAATTCCAGTGATTTGGTTGCCGGAATCCGGCATTGACCGGCGTTGACCGATGTTGACCAAAAATATTTTCAAAAAAATAATTTTTTTTTTAATTTTTTTTGATAAAAAAATTAAAACAATTATTACATAATTTTACTTAAAAATATAACAAAATATACCAAAGTTAAATATAACAAAATATACCACAAAAAAAATACATCAAAATTTTGGTATATATTTTTGTAATATAACTAAATATACCACAAAATAGTCCATAAATTTTATTTTGTCTTATATTTATTTATAAAATTTTGGTAATATAAAAAAATACACTTTTTATTTTTGAAAATCATTTTTTTTGGTATTCAACATCGAACAACCGAGAAGGAAAAAAATATTATTTTATGGTAAAAAAATATTATGTTATATTACCAAAAGTATATACCAAATATAAACCGGAGACGACTTTCTTCTTCGTGACGAAAGCCTTCGCCGCCGGGGTAATCCTTTTATATATTTATATTTGGTATATACTTTTGGTAATATAACAAAATATACATTTTTCAATTACATATTATATATTTATATTTGGTATATACTTTTGGTAATATAACAAAATATACATTTTTCAATTACATATTATATATTTATATTTGGTATATACTTTTGGTAATATAGCAATATATACATTTTCTTTTTGACAATCATTTTTTTACCATAAAATAATATTTTTTTCCTTCTCGGTTGTTCGATGTTGAATACCAAAAAAAATGATTTTCAAAAAGAAAAAGTGTATTTTGTTATATTACCAAAATTTTATAAATAAATATAAGACAAAATAAAATTTATGGACTATTTTGTGGTATATTTAGTTATATTACAAAAATATATACCAAAATTTTGTTGTATTTTTTTTGTGGTATATTTTGTTATATTTAACTTTGGTATATTTTGTTATATTTTTAAGTAAAATTATGTAATAATTGTTTTAATTTTTTTATCAAAAAAATTAAAAAAAAAATTATTTTTTTGAAAATATTTTTGGTCAACGCCGGTCAACATCGGTCAACGCCAGATTCCGGCAACCAAATCACTGGAATTGGATGGTTATGGTGTTTGCAACATGACTTATGTTAGTTCAGGGATGTCCGTATGTAATGTCAATAGTTAGTGTAGCTAACGAAACATTTTTAAAGTCTGCATGTGTGACTATGTGATGGCGTTTCTTTCGTGTAGCTGGCAAACATTTTCCCAACAATTAATCATATGCCCGAAATTTCTCCTCAGCATTTGAAGGACAAATCCGTCATTACACAGCCAAATAAATGCCTAAAACGAAAGTCCCGGCAATCGTACCGGATTCCGTAAGTTTGTCTGGAAAAAGGCCCAGTCCGGTAATTTAATCATACAAAATATCTATTTTTGTTCTTGCTACAAAGAAATAATCAGAAATTATTATATTCTTCTCTTTGTTTTATCTATCTTACACATTGTTGATGATCTTTATAGAAAATTAGATACCACCCCATAATGGAAACTTCCTTGAGAGGAATTTATACACAGAAGATCTTTTGTCTTTTCGAGTTCCTGCGTGGCGCGAACCCTTTTCAAAAGCCGAGCCAAAGATGATCAAATCAGCTTACTCTGATCGAACCAGATTCTCAAAAACACTTCTCATGATTAAGTGAGTTTCTTTCAACTTATAATCCTTATCCCATATAGTGTTGTTTCCACACCCAAAGACGAAAAATGGTCACTATTTTCGTCACATGGCATTATATTCAAATCTGGTAGCAAGAAATTGCCATCCGCCTTGCGATTCTCATTCTCTGCCAAATTCTGACTATGATTCATCTGAAATAAAACGAACCAACCAAAGGGTTTTAGTTGTTCTTAAGTATAGTCACCAAGTCATACAACAAAAGTTAGAGAAAGAGATTAAAGTAGAAAATATGTGTTTTCACCTTCATTCTCTTCAAGTTATCGTTTTCGATGCCTCGCTCGCTGAATGGTGATCTAAGTGATGCAATGTTCTGCTTATCAAAAACACAATCAAAGTTCAGTAATTCAAGTTAATGCTGAAAAGAGTTGTCGATATCATCAAGAACCGAAAACTGCTTGCAAAATACTCCAGAATATTTCAAGAATTGGGTACCTTTTTCCTCTGTAATCTCTTGACATCAAAATCCAAATCTGAAGTTACAAGAACCTGCGAAAAGTAAGAACAAGAACGTTCAATAAATGAAGAATAATAAAGTTGAGTCACAAGAAACAGACGTAGAAGTCCCCACACACACACACACACACAAATTCAATGTTGAGAAAATGGTCCCATGTGACCCATAAAAACATTAAACAACGCGTCATTGAGGTTGATAACCTAACAAAACTTCAGACAAACTTATCCTTAAACTCTTCATTAGCAAATTATAAACACAACTAATCCCAAATAATATCAAACTACCAAATATAACCCAAAACTAATGATATTCCTCTGCTTATATCAAATGTTATACATACCTTAAAAACAATCTATGCATATAATGTAATCACTAAAATCTATCTCTTCTTTCTTCAAACCATCCACTTGCTACCACTCAAATTCACAAACGAACAAAAACAGTAAAACGGCGACGTATCACACGGCCGCCTTCACAAATGACCATAATAACCCTCTCTAGTTAAAACACGGTGCTTTTTTTTTACTCGAAGGATGATGCTTTTTGATTTTGGTCAATGAGTCTTCTTGAAAGCAAAAAAAAAAAAAAAGGACGTATGGAATCTTGGAGCAGAGGAACATTTACAAAAGTTGGCTCAAATCTTGAATCTTTGGTATGTTGTATAACTGAGAGAATCTTGTGTTCCACGATTCAAATCAAGAATTAGGTCGAATTAAGAGATCAACGAGTCTATGTCAGATTTTGATGAATCCAAAACAGAGAAGTGGAACAAACAGATCAGCAAAAAACGAGAGAGAAGAGAGACAAGAACAAACGAACAAACCTTGGATCTAGATCCAACGGTACTGATTTGACGACTAGTAGCTTCGTAACCATCGACATAACCAGATGGAGAAGAAGAAGAACCACCACAACCACCACTCCAAGATAGTGGTGTACTTGGACTACATCTAGATTCAGCTTCTTTTCTTGGACAGCGAGACCGTGGCTGCCGGATTCCCCACCGGAGTGCTGCTACAATCGGATTCTTGATTACTTTGGCTTCTTTAAGCGTCACCAAAAGCTCTGCCACCACTTCACCATCTCTCATCGCACACTTCGTCCAATCATCTGATGAAACCATTCTTTGAATCCAAGAAGAAGAAGAAGAAGATGAAGAAGAAGAAGAGACAAAGCGTAAAGGTACTGAGATACTAACTTTGAGAGAGAGAGAGATAAAGAAAGAAGATGGTGAGATTTTATTAAAATGCGTTTTTATTTGTTTTAATTCTTTATTTCTGATATTTTATTTAATTGATATATATGTATAATATATTAGTACGTGTGAAGATGTGGGAGAATTAAGTGGGACATAAGCAATTAATACTTTAGTCTTATTCAAATTTTGACTAGTTAAATTAGATTGGATCGAAAACAAATTTACTTGGAATATTATGATATAAAAGCTACCACTAAAGAGGTGCTCTAATTTATACAGACTTTGGAATTTTTGTTTGCATTTTACATTAAACTTTTTTTGTTCTTTCCTTCATGATAAATTGATGAAAATTTGTGAATCGATTCCAACACCTCTTATATATTTATATCAACTACTCATTCCGTTTTAGTTTAGTTGTCGTTTTAGCATTTAAATTTTATTTCATAATAGTTGTCGTTTTAGATTATCAATGCAAGTGTTTGGTAAAATTTCTAATTTTATACTCATTGTTTTAATATCTTGACCAATAAAAAAATTAGAAAATATATTGAATAAGGCATAAGGGTAAAGTAGAAAATTTAATTATTTTCTTAATTTTCGTGTAAAAGTCTTAAACGACAAGTAATATAAAATAGAGGGAGTATACATTATCAACTGAACTGAAAGATTTTATTAACTACATTAAATTTGTATCATTTGATAGAATACAAAAAAAAAAAAAAAAAGACTAACCAAACACATGAGAAAATGAAAGAGAAATGGAAGAAATAACTAGATATTTTAATATGCACATAAATTTTGGTTGAAATAAGAAAACGGTTATATCCATTCGAAATACCTCAATATTTCTCTAGAAACAAAAGAATAATGGACTAAAGAATATTTAAATTGTTAAAAACAAAATATATATGGTTATTAATACAAATCATATCATACATTCTCATAAAACATGTCTAACTAGTTCTAATTTTTTGTGTTTAATAATCATATGTACAATTTTTCTTTTGACAGTTTAAATATTCAAATCAACATAAACGCTCATGACATATAAGAAAGACATCGCTATTGAATGTGTACACATAAAAACGTGGCACTAAACCATTTTGAAAACAACATATTCACATGGCTATATTAATGATATATAAACCTATATTATGATTAGATTTTACTACTACAAGTAGTTTGAAGAGCATATTATATGCAATAACCTAAACTTCATCATTATCAAAAGGATCTTGTCTAAGTTACAAGTTGGAAAGACAAATATAGGATTTTTGGATTCAGATTAAACGAGGTGCAAAGAAGACATTAAAAGTACAACTCATCTTTATAATATTTATTTGATATTTATTTTAGATTGCTGGTATTATGATATGTGACAATAATTTTTTTTAGTTTTGTCTTGCTGATTCTTACGGGTACATTGGAAGCAAATATTGCAATAAACTAATCTCTTAATTTTTTGATAATGATCTACTCAGATTAATTCTCGTAAGGATAGCTAAGTTGTTCTTGATGGTTTCGTTTTGATAATGATGTTGATGCCTTTTTTTACAGATTGTCTATGGCTAATGCTTTTGAGCCTTGAAGGAGAAATCAATGATATCAAAACAAGTTAATTTGGGTTTGAAATCGAAGGAATTTGCACATCTTCAATACAGTTATGAGAATCAGTTATTGTATTACTCTTGGATATGGATTGTTTTCATGAAAAAACTCAAAAACAAGAAATGATAGCAAAATCTTATTACAAAAACATAATATATGACTTTAAATGATGTAACAAATCAAGTGGTATGGTTGAGAATGTTATTAGTTGAGCTAGGATTCGAAGAGAAAGAACTAGTATCTATATTGATGAAAAATAGAGCTGATACCTTTGTTTTTCTATAACTTCTTCACAATTCATTAATTATTTTGTTTCCGTGAAAGCTCTCAATCTTTTTCTCTTCTAGCATTTTCTCGAAAACACTGACGAGTAGTTGACAAAAAAAAAGGTTATATGCCATTGCAACTGATTGAAACCCAATTTATCACAAACACACGAAACATTTACTCATGGAACATCACTTGGTGGGAGAATTGTAAGTGAACGAAAGACTCGATCTACATCATTGTTTAAGCAAAGAATAAAGAGCAAGTTATAATTACCAAATCTCATGTACCAAAACTCTTGTAAAATTACATAATACAAGCTTTTAGGGAGTACTGGATTAACCTTGTATTATTTGATTGGAGACAAAAGAATAAATTAAGTGATATATATAGACATAAGTTTAGGTTTTGTGGAGGATTAATAATTTTACCTGTGATCTTTTTTAGGTCTACATTGCCACCCAAGTTATATGAGTATCGTTTATTTATTTATTTATTTTTTTACAATTTGTTGCCTTGAATTGGTGTGCCTTGAATTAGTTCGTTGGTGTAAATATTAACACAAAACATATGAAAATACATAATTCTTTATCTTGCGCGAGTCATCCATAAATATTGGACCTGTCATGGTGTGAAGATAAGTCACAACCTTTAATTCCTTTAGAAGCTATAACTTGGAGCATAGTCATGATCGATCTCTATGCTTGTTTGCTGTTTCCAAGGTTTATCTTTGGAAAGTGGTCAACAAAAGAAGCAAGATTTTCTTAATTACTATTGTCTAATTGTGTTCATTCTCATGAAATGCTTCAGAACTCTTTAAGGATAGTTTTCATTTAAATGCGCTCATGAAATTTTGAAAAACAAACAAACAGCTTATAAAAACCTAACAAGGGTCTAAGCAATGAGACTAATAACTACACTCATTTCTACCTATACCTAAGTGAGATATTTTCAGTCTTCCCATCTAGAGCACCGAAGAGAAGTGAGATTGGCAGGTTTAAGATGTTGGACTGCGTAAATCAATTCGTGGGCTAGGCTAGGCCCATTAAAGACGTATTGATTTTCATTGACCCATGACCCATCTCACCAACACGTCAAATACATGAAACCTTTTCCTCTAGTTGTGTGGTTTTTCGTCGGTCAATAAGACTTTAGTTCGCACAAGCAGGTCTTGTTCCACGGTTGGTCCGCAATGAATTTTCTAATATTTTTGAATTAATATTTGTAATTAAAATGATATAATATTCATGAATAATTGCATATATTTTAGTTAAATTTTGATTTTAGAGATTGGATGCTAATTTTTTTTTTTAAAATTATTATTTTGATGATACAATATCATATATATGTCTGATTGGGTCCATATATTGTAATGTCCAAAGTAAATAACAATAAACTAATTCACATATGTTTTCAGTTTTCAAAAATCTTGTTCAAAATAATCAAAACTGATTCAAAAATTATAACCATAAGCTAAGGTTTATATAGTGTCTGTGTTAGATATGGACGTACATGTGCTGGTGCTGCTATGGGATGAGACTCATGAGAGTGACAGGGGAAAATAAAATCGTAACGTGAAAACTGAAAGAACAAACACTCTAACGACAAAGTCAATAGTTTCTTCTTCCATATTCAACCATTGGGAGATTCAAACCTTGTTCAAAAGCTCACATCACATGGCCTAGTGAATCCAATTTCCCCTTCCATTCACTGTATACTTATCTTGTATGAATATAAAAGGGTTTTGTACAAAAAAACATTCTAACTCGCCAAATTTTGCAACTTTATTCTCTATCTCTAAGAAATACAAATTAATCATTCGAAGTAAAAAATTATACGCAATATAAATCTTTTCGTTGCCGTCAAGTTTGTAAAATTTAGATGAATAATATATCAAATCGAAACCCTCGTGACGAAGAATTCAACTCTACCTTTAAAATTTTTACCCCCAACCCCGTCCGACTATAGAACCAATTTAACCACCCTCCTTGCCGATGAGCAAATCCAGCTTGCTCCTCTCGTGCCGACAAGAATCCCGGCTATGGAACCTTCTCCAACGTCACTTAGTCTCTTGACCGTGACCATTATATCGTCTAACGCTTTGTCCGTGAATGATTATTCGACAAACCGTGTTATCACTTGCACCAATTTGCTACCTAGCTTTGGTCTCCAAGCTCTCATGGATTTTTTGTCGAATTGTTTTAGCTATCTTTGTGCAATATCTGCTTTAACCTTTGTACGCTTGTCCTACTTTGTTTTAAGCCTTTTTATCCTTGTAACATTGGCTACTTTGTACTTTGTCTCATTTGAATGAATGAGAACAAATGTTTGACCAAAAAAAAAAAAAGGTTATATTGCGAATTATTTTTAACTTTGTATGATTAATCTGTATTTTTTAGATGAAATGTAAAGTTGGAAAAATTGGCGAGTAAGAAGATTTTTTTGCATAAAACCCAATATAAATCATATAGTTACTGAAACAAAATAATTGTTTTAATTGGCCAGTAAAGATAGTTTAAAAGACCAGAAAACTTAGTTGTAGCCTTGTAAGTACCCGAAATTAATTTATTTTAAACTAAGAGCATTTTTATTAGTAGTCTTTCAATAAAAGACTCTCCAAAAAAAAATCAAAAAAAATCAAAAAAATCAAAAAATAAAAAAGAGAATGAAGAGAGTCATTTAAATGAAAAACTTTGAGATAATCATGAAAAACTCAAATAACACTTGTTTTCACATGATTGGTTCAGTTTTTTTTTTTCTAATTTAAATTTAATTATACAATTAAATTTTATTTTAAATATGAATTTTATATTAATGAGAGACTCAAGAGAGTATCTCACCAATAAAAGTGCTCTATCGTCTTAGTCCAAAATCTAGTTACCTGAAAAATAAAATTGTGTTATGAGAGAAAGGATACTAATTATTCCTGACGCAAAAGTGACTACAACAATAAACAACAATAAAAATATAAAATGTTGGATTCATGAAACATAGTGATTAATATAAGATTTTAATATATTTATGTTAGAAGTTTAAATTTTGAATGAGCCAAAGAAACTTATAATTGATGACTTGATGTTATTGTTAAGCAGGTCAAAAATGTTTAAATAAACCAAGGCACATGGAAACGAGCCGATAGATGGTTTTAGCTTATTTGCATTACGAAATAAAGCTTCTTTTTTTTTTTTTGGAATAACAC